GTGAAAAAAGATTATTTTTTTTTAAATCCAAACTATTGTGACACCAGATCTAATTAGTGGCACTGGTCAGCGTATCCACTGTTAGCGTAACACACCCGCTTTAAGGACACTGACTGCTATTCAATCTATAACAGTGAAAAAAGTGTTTTGTTTTTTTAAATCCAAGCTATTGTGACACCAGATCTAATTAGTGGCACTGGTCAGCGTATCCACTGTTAGCGTAACACACCCGCTTTAAGGACACTGACTGCTATTCAATCTATAACAGTAAAAAAGTTTTTTGTTTTTAAATCCAAGCTATTGTGACACCAGATGTAATTGGTGGCACTGACTGGGGAAATGGGCACAGTATGCACTGTGAGCCTGACACAGAAGCTGGCAGCAGTGGCAGACAACTGACTGCTATTCAATCTATAACAGTGAAAAAAGTTTTTTGTTTTTAAATCCAAGCTATTGTGACACCAGATGTAATTGGTGGCACTGACTGGGGAAATGGGCACAGTATGCACTGTGAGCCTGACACAGAAGCTGGCAGCAGTGGCAGACAACTGACTGCTATTCAATCTATAACAGTGAAAAAAGTTTTTTGTTTTTAAATCCAAGCTATTGTGACACCAGATGTAATTGGTGGCACTGACTGGGGAAATGGGCACTGTGAGCCTGACACAGAAGCTGGCAGCAGTGGTAGACAACTAAGTGCATTTACATTACATAGAAAAAATAAATAAAAAAAAAGCATACCCTTATCCCTAACCTAGCTATGCTTTTCCCTATCTTATGAACAGCAGCTACACTTTCCCTCCTCTTACTAAGCATGCAGCTTGAGAATGAATCTAAAATGGATGCTGTCCAGTAGGTGGGAGGGTCTGCTAGGGAGGCTGTGCTGCTAATTGGCTGCAATGTGTCTGCTGACTGTGAGGTACAGGGTCAAAGTTTACTCAATGATGACGAATAGGGGGCGGGTCGAACCGCGCATATGTTCGCCCGCCGTGGCGAACGCGAACATGCTATGTTCGCCAGGAACCGTTCGCCGGCGAACCGTTCGGTACATCACTAATCATAGGTGACAGGGCCATCTTTAATGCGGGGCAAATGGGACAGTTGCCTCAGGTTCAGTTACTCTTGGGAGGCCCAAATCAGCTGCCTCATGGGCCATGCTGCCTGCAATTTTCTACTTTTTTTTCTATGGGGCCACCGGTGCAGCCAGGGGGCCCTCATGCTAAGGAGGCCCATCAGGTGGCTCATGCACTCAGGTTGTGCGCTATGGTCCTTTAACAGTATGACCGGGCCTCTTGGTTTTTTGGTAGAATAGGAGGTCACTTCCTCCCAGAGAAAACAGAACCACGCAGGAGGGAGGACAAGGGAGTGAGGAGGGGGCTGGAAAGCCAGAATCCAACTCACTTCATCCTCAGGCACCACACTGGACCCCAGGGAACCCACCCTCCAGCAAAACATAGGAAACTGGAGGGTGGGTTTACAAATGTAAATATTGCATGTGTCTGTATGTGTGTGTGTATGTCTTTCTGTGTGTGTGTGTATGCCAGCCTGTCTGTCTGTGTGTGTCAGTCTGTGTCTGTGTTAGCATGTCTGTCAGTGTATGTGTCTGTGCCTGTGTCAGCATGTCTGTCAGTGTGTGTTTGTGTGTCAGCATGACTGTGTGAGTGTCAGCACATCTATTAGTGTGTGTCAGTATGTCTGTCAGTGTTTGTGTCTCTGTGTGTGTGTCAGCATGCCTGTCAGTGTTTGGTTGTCATCACATCTGTCAGTGTATTTGCCTATGTGTGCGCCAATATGTCTGTCAGTGTATGTGTCTGTGTGTCAGTGTGTGTGTGTCTGTATGTCTGTAAGTGTATGTGTCTGCATGTGTCAGTATGTCTGTCAATGTATGCCTCATCCAGCAACAGTTCCATCAGTAGCAGAGAAAACAGAGCCACGCAGGAGGGAGGACCAGGGAGTGAGGAGGGGTCTGGAAAGCCAGACTCCAACTCACTCCATCCTCAGGCACCACACTCGACCCCAGGGAACCCACCCTACAGCAAAAGGTAGGACATTGGAGGGTGGGTTTACAAATGTAAATATTGCATATGTCTGTATGTGTGTGTGTGTGTGTGTGTGTGTATCAGTATGTCTTTCTGTGTGTGTGTGTCAATATGTGTGTGTGTGTATCAGCATGTCCATGTGTCAGTATGACTGTGTGTGTGTCAGCATGTCTATCAATGTGTGTCAGTATGTCTGTCAGTGTTTGTGTCTGTGTGTGTGTCAGCATGCCTGTAGGTGTATGTGTGTGTCATCACGCCTGTCAGTGTATTTGTCTGTGTGTGTGCCAGTATGTCTGTCAGTGTATGTGTGTGTGTGTATGTCTGTCAGTGTATATCTGTTTGTCAGTGTGTGTGTCTGTATGTCTGTTAGTGTACGTGTCTGCGTGTGTCAGCATGTATGTCAATGTATGCCTCATCCAGCAACAGTTCCATCTGTACCAAGAATTGGAGTTCTATGACCCACTCTTTTAGCAGCTACTTTCCCAGGAAAGGCATCCTCAGCGTCGCTTGCTACCATTGGCATTGTTCCAGACTGGGGAGGCTCTCTCTCCATGAAGGTTGAGTCTCACCGTAGCCCATTCGTATTTCTCCGTGTTAATAGTATAAGGCTGCAACAGTAACAATAATGAAGTCATTTCGAGTCTTTTGTAACAATGCTCCCTCTTTGTGGAACACTCTGGCAGACACTGTCTGACCCCTTTTCGGGGCAGACTAAGGCTGTCCAGACTGACAGATTATGCTGGGCTGAGGTCAGTCTGCCGGGATAACCCGTCGGCGTTGCCATTCTGCTTTCCAGGTCGGTAGGTGATGGTAAAATTAAATGGTTGTAAAGATAAGCTCTAGCGTAATAATCGTCCATTATCCCCAGCAACTCGGTTGAGCCACACCAATGGGTTATGGTCTGTAACCAGAGTGAACTCTTGTCCATACAAATGGGGGTTAACTTCTTTAATGCCCACACCAGGGCCAAACACTCCTTTTCTACCGCGGCATAGCTGACTTCGCGTGGTAGGAGTTTTCGACTGATGTAGGCAATCGGGTGCTCTTTCCCATCGTCTCCTACTTGGCTGAGGACAGCTCCCAGCCCGAACATGGAAGCGTCTGTATGAACAATAAAACGTCGATTAGGGGCTGGGGCAGCCAAGACAGGAGCATTAATCAAAGCAGTTTTGAGCGTTTGGAAAGCGGTTTCACAGTCGGGAGATCACAGGACCTGTCGAGGAAGGTTTTTCTTTGTCAGGTCGGGTTTAGCAATAGCACTATACTCGGGTACAAATCTCCTGTAGTAACCGGCAGTACCCAGGAAGGCT